ATGGTCCCCCAAGACTGCCAGGTATAAGCCCTGAGCACTGCTGGGTGGAGCCCAACCCTCCCAGTAAATAAACAAAATGGACCAAAGCCCTCAATATCAGAGGTGCGTCCACAAGGCACTTGAAAGGATTCTTGGAGATGGTGACTTCTGATGTCTTTGACAAATTTACTCCATGGATGAAGTAACTGAAGCAAAAAGGAATAAAGTGGATGAAGATTACAACCTTGAAGTAAGAAGGCTCCTACAGCCAAACAACTCCGGCTCAGTGCAAGGCCCACCTCCGTACCTAGTCTCAGTGAAAGCAAAGCCTCCCACCCCTGCTCAGTGAAAGCACCACCTCCCAACCCCACTCAGTGAAACAACCACCTCCCAGCCTGGCTCAGTGAAAAGTCCACCTCCCAATCCCGCTCAGTGAAATCACTACCTCCCAATCCCGCTCAGTGAAGGGAAAACCTCCCAATACAGCTCAGTGAAAGGACCACCTTCAACTGGGGTGGAGAACTGCATCCTGGGTGTCCAATAGTCTAGACAGATAACATACTTCCAAAGCTCAATAACTAAAAGACCAATCCCACCCCAAAACAGGGAGAGACAGCTGGGGCCCCCCCTGGGTTGGAGCCCAGGCTGGACATGCGGAGGCCCCAGGCTTGATCCCTGGCACCGCATGGTCCCTGAGCACTGCCAGGAGTGGCCTCCAAGCACCAGCCTGGAGAAACTTCTGAGCACTGCCGGGGTAGCCCGTACCAACACATAAGCACATAAAACCGGTAAGAGGTGGTGGGCAACTGGGACCAAGAGTGACAGCACGGTGGGTGGGGTGCTGGCCTTGCACTTGGCTGAACTGGGTTCGATCCCCAGCACCCCATGTGGTCTCTGAGCCGTGCCAAGAGTGATCCCTGAGCACAGAGCCAGGAGTCAGCCCTGAGCACCACCGGATGTGGCTCCCCAAACAAAAAACAAAAAACAACCAAGAGGGGCTGGAGCGACAGCACAGCGGGTAGGGCGTTTGCCTTGCACGTGGCCAACCCAGGTTCGAGTCCCAGCATCCCATAGGGTCCCCTGAGCACCACTGGGTGTGACCCAGAAAGGAAAAAAAAAAACCACCGAAAGAGGCCATGGAGACAGACATTAGGAGAAGGGACCATCAGGGAGACGCAGATGAGGTGGGGACCCTCATTCACCTCGAGACAGGGAAACACAAACACCAAATTCGTCTCGGGGCCTGGACCCCCAGGGCCCTGGGAACATGGCTTCCAAACAAAACACGCACACGCGTGCTCCCCGCAGCGCTGACCACAGCCAGCCACCAAACAACCCGAATGCCCACACCAGCCCCGGGCGTGAAGCTCCGCCTGGCTGCAGGGAAGATGGACACCTGCAGCGGCCACAGCCCGCGAGGGGCCGGGGGGGGCCAGTGGGGGAGAGGACAAGTACCCGCGGGTCACACCAGGGCCATGGCGTTTGCCCACCAGGCTCAAGGTCCCGAGCACCGCCAGCGGTCGCTCACAAGCACGGGTCAAGAATAGCCCCTGAGCACAGCTGGGTGTGCCCGTCCGTCCCCCTCCCAGAAAGGAAGGGCCAGACAATGCCCAGAGGAAACCCAAGAGACTGCCAAGAGAACTGAGCCCAGGGAAGGCTGCGAGTGTGGGTGCAGAGAAGAGATGGGATGGGGAATCTGGAACGTGGGGTGCAGGGGAGGGTTGGGATGGGGGGGCTGGGAACGTGGGGTGCAGAGAAGGGATGCGATATGGGAGGCTGGGAATGGGGGTGCAGAGGAGGGCTGGGATTGGGAGGCTGGGAGTGTGGGGTGCAGAGGAGGGCTGGGGTACCGGAGGAGTAAGACGGGGTGTGGGTGGGCAGCTGTGTTGCAGAGATAAGGGATGACGCCAACGCTATTGTCACCGGGACTCAATACGAAAAGGACTGGAAAGAGACCAAGGAGCGGACAGGCTGGCCCCTGCTGGCCCCGAGAACCCCGCCCACGGCCTCGCGGGTCTGTGGGGTTTAAAGAAGTCAGGAGGAGGGCTGGAGAGATAGCACAGCGGGGAGGGCGTTTGCCTTGCATGCAGCCGACACGGGTTCGATCCCCAGCATCCCGTAGGGTCCCCTGAGCACCGCCAGGAGTGATTCCTGAGTGCAGAGCCAGGAGGAACCCCTGAGCATCGCTGGGTGTGACCCAAAAAGCAGAAAAAAATTAAATAAAGAAAAATAAAAAAATAAAGAAGTGAGGAGCAGGAGAGCTGGTGTCCCCTCAGAGGGACACTAGGACAATGGTGGACGGAAGTGGTTGATGGGAGGCAGTGAGGAGTCAGGCGTGAAGCCGGCCTGCAGTCACCTGGAAACTACAGCCACGTGCCAGAGGCAGATGCTGGCCTCGCACACAGCTGGCCCAAGACCCATCCCAGCATCTCACAGGGTCCCCGAGCTCTGCCAGGGGTGACCCGAGCATTCCAGATGTGACCCCCCAAAGGTGCCGGCCATAGAGACAGGCACGGGGGGTGAAACTGGGGACACTCGGGGAGGGCAGTAGACTCTAGTGAAGGAACAGGCGTTGGGACATGGTTTTGGGTAGTGGACGCTGGGGAGGGGACGGGTGCTAGGAGACCGCTGGAGATTTAATCATGAATAACTGCAATTATGGTGACTAAGCAAAACTTTAAAACTAAAAGTGATCTCTGGCAGCACATGCGGTTAAAGTGGAAGGGGGGGGGGCTGGGATGGCCCTGGGCAAGGAAGGGGGGAGGGAGCCCTGGTCAAGGCTGTGGGACGATGTCCGTGGAACCTTTGCTTATGTATGAGTCAAAAACTAAAGCTTTTCGGGGCTGGAGCAACAGCACAGCAGGTAGGGCGTTTGCCTTGCATGTGGCAATCCAGGTTCAATTCCCAGCATCCCGTATGGTCCCCTGAGCACCACCAGAAGTAATCCTTGAGTGCAGAGCCAGGAGTAACTCCTGGGCATCACCAGGTGTGACCCAAGTATAAATAAATAAACCTAAAAAAAAAAAAAACTCACAATAAGGGATGGAGTGATAGCTCAGCGGGCAAGGTGTTTGCCTTGCACGTGGCCCGACCCGGGTTCGATTCTCAGTATCCCATATGGTCCCCGAGCACGGCCAGGAGTAATTCCTGAGTGCAGAGCCAGGAGCAACCCCTGTGCATCGCTGGGTGTGACCCAAAAAGAAAAAAAAAACTCCAGTAAGATAAGCAAAGCCGATGGTAGAACACAGGGCTACCAACGGGCCCTTGCAACCAACCCTCCCCGCCTCCTGCCTGGCTGAGCTGCTTGGGCCCACGGAGCCGTCCCGTCTGTGTGGGTGCACGGGTCACTCTGCAGGGCTGTGACGTGCGTGACGGGACAGAGTGGGAACCTCACCTGCGTCCAGGGCGATGGAGCAGACTCGCGGGAGCAGGACTGGCCGTGGGCCAGGGCAGCCGTCACGAGAGTCGCATTCGGAACCTTCTCAGGGCTGCTGGGCTGGGCCACCCGGAACATTCTGGAAGGACAGTCAGAGGATGTGCGGTGAGCAGCCGATGCTGCTGCAGACGTGGAGGGCTCAGAGGGGACGCTGGCGAGGCAGAGGTGGGGGACCTGGGGGCCTCAGTCTCTTGGCCAAGCCCTGACCTCACCTGTGGTGCGAAGGGCCTGTGGGCCCAGCCAGAGGCCACGTGCAGCCGTGGAGACAGGGTGCTCTGGGGTTCCCGTCCTGGGGTTCGGCTCGGAGGCCAGATGATGGTCCGCAACGTCAGGGACTCAGCCCCAAGCCCCCCACACCCACCCACTTGCACCAGGCCTCGCACGCAGCACTGCACACCCAGGAGACCCTGAGCTGTCCACCGGGCCACGGCAGGCAGGGCGCAGGCTGGGGTCACTCACCTTGGAGCTGGGCCACTCTGGGGGACCCCTGGGTCTTCCACAGCACAGACTCTGGGGTCCAGCAAAAGCTGCGGTCATCCTCCGACCACCACGTGGGCACCTTGCCACTGCCTCAAAGGAAGGAGGTGCCCGCTGACCCTCCACACAGGGTGACCGCGGTCTCCGGCCAGATGCCCCTCTGCACCTCTGCCCCCTCGCCAGGTGCAAGCCAGCACCTTACCCTGCACTCCTGCTCGAGGGTCCCCAGGACTGGTCTGACACCCCCATCCATTTGCCAGTCGGTCCCCACCGCTGGACAAACGCAGAGAGCTCCCCGCCTGGAGGGTGAACCCCGCTGGAGTTTGTGGGGCCGCCCCACATCTGGTGAGCTGGGGAAGGCCCGGTGGGCACACACAGCCGGAGGGGAATGTGCAGCCAGCGGGCCTTCCTGGGGCTGCGGGACACTTCCTGCTCAGCCCACTGGCCTTGTGCTGGAGGCCGGTGTCCAGAGAAGCCGGGGGCTCCTGTCCCCGCAGGGGCCAATGCCGGGGCAGGGAGGGGTCATCCGGGCCTGGCGGGGTGGTCTCCAGGAACTTCCTGCCCATCACAGGCGGGGCCGGGAGACCAGCCTTTGACCCTGGCTCCCCCAGGCCATGGACTCGGGGCACGAGGGGTCAGCGGCCCATCGCCGTGGCCGCCGCGTGTCCCTGTGCGGTCAGCAAGCCCAGCGGGGGAGCCACAGGTCGGCGCCCTCAGGCGGGGGTGCAGGCCTCGTCCGGGCAGGGCGCAGGGAGCCGCTCGGAGCGCAGCCGCCCCCCGGGGACCCGGGCCGAGGGGGAGAAAGGACGGCTGGCCAGCAGGCCCAGGCGTCCCGGCGGGGCTGGCCCCGGATGGGGCGGGGCTGGAGGCCCCCGGCCCATCCCGCCCGCGGGCTCGGGTGGGCGCAGGCGGGGAGCCGGCGGGGCGCTCTCCGGCCCCGCGCCCCCACGGCGGGGAGCGGCGCCGCCTTCCAGACTTGCGCGCGGGGGAGGGTCGCCGGGGCGGGCCGGGCCGGGCGCGGGCGGGGGTCCGGGGCGGGACGGGGTCCGGGGGCGGGCCCGGGGCGGGGCGGGGCGGGGCGGGGCGGGCGGCGCGGGGCGGGCCCGGCTATTAGCGGCGGCGGCGCGCGCGGCCGGGCAGACGCGAGCGCGCAGCGGCGCATCCCCGGCGCTCCCTCCCCGGCTCCCCGCGCCGCGCCCCTGCAGCCATGGGGGTGGAGGGCTGCACCAAGTGCATCAAGTACCTGCTCTTCGTCTTCAACTTCGTCTTCTGGGTGAGCCGCGGCCCCGCGCGCCCCCCGCCGCGCCGCCGGGGCCACCTGTGGGCGCCCCGGGCCCGCGCGCGCAGGCCGCGGCGCTGCGGACCCCGGCGCGGGGGGCCGGCGCGGGGGGGCCGGCGCGGGCCCCGCCCCCGGGGCGCCGCGGCCGGCGGGGGAGGGGCTGGCGCCGCGCCCCCCGGGGTCCCGGGGGCCGGGCGCGGGGGGCGGCCCTGCCCGCGGGGGGCCCGCCGGGGCCGCGCTCGGCCCTTTGTTCGCGCTTCCTGCCCGCCCGCGCCGCCCGGGTGGAGCCCCCCGGCCCCGCGCCGCCCCTCCCCCGCGGCGGGCGGGCGGGCACCCCGGGGACCCCGGAGCGGGCGCGGGGCCGGGGTCCGCCGCGCGCCCCCCGCCACCCCCGGGCCCCGCGCAGGGCCCGCCCGCGCGCATCCTCGGGGCGGACCGCGCGACCCCCGGGCTCTGGGCCCGCCCGCCTCGCTGCGGGAGCCGGGCCCGCGGGCAGGGCCGGGGTCCCCGGGGTCCCCGCGTTTCCGGGGAGCAGCCCGGGAGCCCGAGGCCCGTCCGACTTTCCGGGGCTTCCCTGGGCCCAGCCGAGCGTCGAGAACTGGGCCCGCCCCTAAACGCCCCCCTGCGCCGAGAGGGGGCAGGGCTGGGGCCGGCGAGGTCCACCCCGCCGGGGGTGTGGCCTGGGGCCCCCCGGGAGGGCACCCCCTCGGCCCGCGCCCCCCGCAGCCTGTGCCCAGCGGGCTCCAGGCGTTGGAGGAGCCGCTAGCTGGCATCTGAGTCTTCTGCCAGGGCACGTGACGGCGATGCCTGGCAGCCGTTACCTTGGTCCTGGGGAGGCTGGCATCCGCGGGCACGGACCGGCAGGGCTCGGGGGCCGCCGGCGCGGCGCACGGCCGCCTCCACCCCGGGACCCGGCCTGGGTGCCCGCGGGTGCCCGCCGCAGCTGGGCCCGTCGGGGAAGCTCGGGCAGCCCCGGGTCTTCTGCCCCTCCCCGGGAAGGCCCGGGCAGGCAGGGGGTGTCCCGTTAGCTGTCCCCCCCACCCCGCGCCTCGCAGACCCCCGGGGTCTTGGGGGGCCGGGAGCCCCGCGGCCTGGACTGCTTTCCACCCAGGGACTGATGATGAGCCCCTTGAGGTGCCCGGCTCCCGTGGGCAGGCCCGGCCAGTCTGTTTCCAGAAGCTTCCAGCCTTCTGCGCGCCGTGCGTGCCTGCACACCCTTGGCAGGGGCCCTGCAGGGCCTTGGGCTGGTGACGAGGCCCAGAGCAGCGTCTCTCCCGCCTCTTTGCTCCCTCTCCTTTCGGGGGGGCGCCTCCCGAGCAGTGCTCAGTGGCACCAGGGGTGCCCATAGGTGAGAGCCTTAAGGATGCAGAGTTGCTGGGGGGCTGGGGGAGTCTCCTACGGTGACCCTTGGGGCCTGTCCCCCCCGCCCCCCCCCCCCGGGAGGCAGTGCCAGCCTAGCTGCAGAGGCCTGGGGAGCCCCGCCCTCCCCCAGCAGGGGTCCCCACATCTAAGGGTCCCTGGCGCGTGGGGCGGGGGCACGTGTCCTCTCCTCCCATCTGAGGGCCACCCCAGGCTTGGGGCCCAGACAGGGCCCGGCTGGGCCTCAGCGACCACCCTGTCACGGGAGTCCCCTCCACGGGGGCACCCCTCCTTCTGCCTGGGCCTCACCTGCACCCCAGAGGTCCCCTGGCCCTCTGGGACGCACCCCTGTGGGCAGGAAGTGACTCCCTGCATCCCCCGCCCGCCCCGTGCTATTTTTAGCCCTGCTTCCTGAGCTGAGGCCCAGGGCCCTGGGCTTCCTGGCCCCAGAGAGGGTCCCCGCCGCCCCCCACTTCCTTCCAGAGCCTGAGTGGCTCCCAGGTGCCTGGCGGGGGAGCGCCCCGGGGGTCCGCCTGCAGAGAGCCCCTCCCGAGGCTTCCTGCGGGCATCCTGCCCGTGGGGCGTCCTGCCTGTGGGTGGGCGGGGCGGCGGGGCGTCCAGGGACAAGGCTGGGGGGGCACATCCTCTGGGGTGGGGCGGAGCCGCACACAGCCGGCCCGCCCTGCCCCAGACTGTCCCCCAGCAGCCTTCGGGTCTAAAGGGGCCTGGGGCGGGGCTTGAACCTGAGCCTGGGTAGGCTGGTTTGATGGGCGGGGCTTGAACCTGGGCATGTGGCTTTGGGGCGGGGCTAGCAGCTCGGGGGCGGGGCTTGAACTTGGGCATGTGGCTTGGGGCGGGGCTAGCAGCTCGGGGGCGGGGCTTGAGCATGGGCAAGTGGCTTGGGGGCGGGGCTTGAACTTGGGTAGGTGGCTTGGGGGCGGGGCTAGCAGCTCAGGGGCGGGGCTCGAGCCTGGGGCTGGGCCCTGGGCAGGCGGCTTTGGGCGGGACCGGCAGTCGTGCCCCAGCATGTTGCGTTCCCCAGCATGTTGCGGGGGCGCCCCTGTATCTCAGCTCTCTGGAAGGCAGAAGGAAGACACCAAACAATCTTGTCTGGCCCCGGGGTGGTCCCTGGGACCCCAGCACTTGCCGCCGTGGCCAGGCTGCCCACCCAGCCTCTCGCAGCAGGGGCGCCGGTGCAGCATCCTCCGGAGGACTCGGCCCCTGCCCGTTGGCCTGCGTGCTGCGCCCAGTTGCCAGTCAGGGCCTGGCACCGCTGCTGTGGGCTCCAGCTTCAGCCCGGCCCGTACCTAGGAGCCGTGAGCCCCCAAAACACCGCCTAGAAGCTGGGCAGATCTTCCTCAAACAGAGGGTCTCTGCACTGAGCCACCCCTTGTGATCGGGTCACCCGGAGCAGGGCCCCCTGCCCCTCCCCCACGGCCTGAATGCCCCCAGGACAGCCCTGGGGCCGGGAGCAAGCCCAGGCTTCGCCCGTGAGCTTCTCGGGAGGGGCTCTCAACTGTGCAGGTTTTGGGGTGCAGGCCTGTCTGCTGATGTCCATCACTGAGCCCCAGACCTCCAGGCCACTTGGGTTGGTCCCTTAGGGGATAGTGAGTGGTGGGAAGGCCCCATGGCTGCCGGACACGAGATGGGGGGGAGGGGGTGCCCTGGCCCCTCCCCTATTCCTCTGCCTGGCAGATGGAGACTGCCATGGGCCCACCCTGCCGCCAGCTGGGGAGAGGGAGGATGGGGGGGTCTTCCAGGCCCTCTGGTCTGGGTGCAAGAGACGGAGCAGTGGCTGGGCAGCCCTCCTCTGCCCCCACCCTGCTGCCCTCTCACGGGCTCCAGGCACTTCTGGGCCAGGTTCCAAAGAGTGGGGTGCTGTGTACCTGGGGTTCCGCGCCACTGGAGCCCAGGGCTCCCCTGGCAACCCACAGCGCAGCCTCACAGCTGCAGACATCGCCAGCCCTCGGGGACCTGCCTCAGCGCCCCGTAAACTGGACTTGGAACTTCCTGAGAGGGCTGGGAAACAGCCCTGGGGGGAAGTGGGGTGATACCAGCACGCGTGGGGAGTGGGGCGCCCGGCCCGGCACACTCAGCCATCTTGCAGGGGGTCCCTCAGCCCTGCAGCTCCAGCCTGGTGCAAGGGGGAGGCCCCCACACCTGCCCGACCCGTCCCTGAACCCTGACACCTCCGAGGGCACCTCAAGACGGCACAGGTGGGGTGGGGGGACTCGGGGCAGATGAGGGGTCTGGGCCGGCAGTGACCGCAGCCCTGTCCACAGCTGGCCGGGGGTGTGATCCTGGGGGTGGCCCTATGGCTGAGGCATGACCCGAAGACCACCAACCTGCTGTACCTGGAGCTGGGGGACAGGGCGGCGCCCAACACCTTCTACGTAGGTGAGTGGGGGGCGCCCAGGGCTCGCTGCGGGGGTCTCCCACCCCTCCCAGGGCTGGCCCATACCGAGGCCCCTCTGTCCTGGGGGGGTCTCCCCGAGAGCACCAACGCTCCACAGGGACAGTCCTGGCTCAGCTGGGCAGGGGAAACAGCCTGGCCCCAGGTCTATGTCTGGGGTGCAGAGGGCCACCCCGGGGCGCCCTCTTGGCCCCCCTGTCACTGGCTGCAGCAGGAGGTGGGGAAGAGCCTGGCAGAGCTTTGGGGTTCCATCCCCCACAACGGGCCCTCCAGCCCTCAGCACACGGGGGCATGTGTGCGTGGGGGGTCTGTGGGGGCACTGGGGCCTCACCTGCCCGGGGCACCCCCCCAGGCATCTACATCCTCATCGCCGTGGGTGCCGTGATGATGGTGGTCGGCTTCCTGGGCTGCTACGGGGCCATCCAGGAGGCCCAGTGCCTGCTCGGCACGGTAAGGGGGCATCTGGGGTCCCCGGGACGGCCGCACCTGTGTGTCAGGGTGGGTCTCGGGGAAGCCCCTCTGGGGACCGGCGGGAGGCCAGCCTGAACCCCCCACCTGCTCCCCAGTTCTTCGCTTGCCTGGTGATCCTGTTTGCCTGTGAGGTGGCTGCCGGCATCTGGGGTTTCGTCAACAAGAACCAGGTGCACAGGGGCCCGGGGTGGGCTTGCGGGGGAGGGGGGGCCTGGGACCTGCCCCTCGTAACCCTGCCGGCCCCCAGATCGCCAAGGACATGAAGCAGTTCTATGACCAGGCGGCACAGCAGACGCTGGTGGAGGAGGAGGACGCGGCGGCCAAGGCGCGGGCTGTGATGAAGACCTTCCACCAGACGGTGCGTGCCGGGCCGGGGGGTTCCCGTCGGGCACGGGGCCTGTCCACTCACCCTCTGTCCATCTCCAGCTCAACTGCTGTGGCTCCAAAACCCTGTCGCACATAACCAACGCCCATCTGAAGGCCACTACGTGTCCTGAGGGCTTGAACAGCATCAGTTTCTACAAGGTGGTGGCAGGGCCTCTCCTGGGGGGGTGGTGGTGGGGGGGACAGGGCGCAGCCCTGGGCCCTGACTCCGTGGTGTCCTCCCCAGGATGACTGCCATCCCCAGATCGATGACCTCTTCTCGGGGAAGCTCTACCTCATTGGCATAGCGGCCATCGTGGTGGCGGTGATCATGGTGAGTGGCCGGGGTGGTGGCCGGGGCGGGGCGCGTCCAGGCCCTGATGCCCTCCCTCCCTCTCTCCCTCCCTCCCTCCCAGATCTTCGAGATGATTCTGAGCATGGTGCTGTGCTGTGGCATCCGCAACAGCTCCGTGTACTGACGCCCGCGCTGCCCGTCACTCGGCTGGCACTGTTTTGCTACAACCGTCCTTCCACCGTGATACTTCAGCGGTCTCCAGGCACCCCGGGCTGCCGGCCTTGGGAGATGGGGCAGCACCGTCGGGCCCTGGGGGCCGACTGCAGGGCTGGGGGCGCTGTCTGGGCCCCCGCCCACCCTGCCCTCCCACCGCCCTCCTCCCTGCGGCTGTCCCCCACCTCTGATCCCCCAGAGTGCTCACCTTTCCCTGCCTGCCCCCGCAGCCCTCACTGTAGCCACCTTCCTCTTCAATAAAGAACCGACCACATCTGGCACCTGGTCCCTCCTGGCCCACCAGGGATGGGGAAGTGAGAAGCGGCCACAAGGGAGCCTGCCCCTCCGTCCTCCCCTGCTGTGGTCACTGGCGCCCCGCTCCCTCCTGGACACAGGGGCTCCCCCGGCCCACGGAGCAGCATCCCAGGTCCATGGTCCCCAAGGCCCCAGTTCCTGGAGCCTGGGTGCAGCCTGTGCCAGGGACTCGGGCCACCCGGGGAGGGCCATCCCTGCCCTGGCCACCGCCTGTCCTGGCGGGAAGGGCTGCAGAGAAGGACCCTGAACGAGCCGTGTGTCGAGGAGGCAGGAGGAGCAGGCCCGGGAGGTGCTGGAGACCCCCACGGCGCGCCCCATGCACACATCCCACGCCTGCGTCTCCCGGGCACCCGGGTACCTCAGCGCAGACCCAGGGGCTGGCTCTGGTCAGCGAGGTCAGGCCCCGTCCAGCTGCCCACATCCCTGGGGGTAGTCGGGGGGCGGTGCATGCCCCCCCCAGGGATGCTTGTGGCCACTCTGGGCCACCGTCCGCGCACAGCACACTGCCCGAGGGTCATCCTGCACCGGCATCCGCTCGGAGGCCGCTGCTGCCTCGGGAGGGTTAACGGTAGGAACGCGGCGTCCCCGAGCCGGCCCGTCCTCCCCACTTCCGGGGGAAGTGACCGCCCGGGCCAGGGAGGGGCGCCGGGGCCGGGCCCTCGGCCACTTCCGACCAAGGCGGCCGCTGCGCCCGCGAATGCCGCCAGGGGGCGCCCGGGCTCCGGCCCCCGAGCATCCTTCCGCCTCCGTCGCTTGCGGGAGCTTCCGGCCGAGACGCACTTCCGGGGGAGGGACCGCGGGGCGACTTCCGGCGCGGCCCGCTGCCTTATGGGAGTTGTAGTTCTCTCCGCCGCGGCGGCCGCGGCGCCGGGCGGGCCGAGGACTCGGTTTCCCAGAAAGCGAGCGCGGCGCGAAGATGGAGGCGGCCCGGCCACGCCGAGCGGGTAGGTGCGCGCGGAGGGAGTGGGCGCGGGGCTCCGGGGGGCCGCGGCGGGCAGCCGGGCCGGGTTTGGGTTTGGGTCTGGGTCTGGGTGGGGGGCGCGGTCCGGTCCCGGGCCTGATGGCGCGCGCGCCCCTCTCCCCGCAGCGCGCTGAGCCGCCGCGACCCGCGCCCGCCGCCCACCGCGGGGGGCCATGGCCGGGGGCGCCCGGGACCCGCCGGCCGCGAGCAGCGCGTCCCTCAGCGACTCGGACTCCGACGCCAGCCTGCCCGGCGACCCCGAGCTGGACGCGCTGTCCCCGGAGGACCTGTCCGAGGACGCGCGGGGGGACTCGGGCCCCGATGAGCCCCCGCCGCCCCCGCCCCCGGCCGCCCAGCCCTTCCACCTGCGCGGGACCAGCGCCCCCTTCTCGGAGCGCAGCCGCAGCATCTTCGGCGGCCTGGACGGGGCGGCCCGCGGCCCCCTGAGCCGCCGCCCCGCGGCCCCCGAGCCGCCGCCCCCGCCGCCCCCCGTGCCCGACTACGTGGCGCACCCCGAGCGCTGGACCAGGTACAGCCTGGAGGACGTGGCCGAGCCCACGGAGCGCAGCAACCGCGCCGCGGCCGCCGCCTTCCTGGGCCCCCGGCGCGGGGACCCCCCGGGCTCCGCGCCCTCCTTCAACCAGGACCCCTCGAGCTGCGGCGAGGGCCGCGTGGTGTTCAGCCGGCCCGAGAGGAAGCGGGGCCCCGCGCAGGACGGGGCGGGGGTCCGGGCCGCGGGCGGGGAGGGCGCCGTGGAGCTGGCGCATCTCGGGGGGCCCGAGGGCGACGAGGGCGACGGCGGGGGCGCGCCCGAAGGGGCCCCCCGCGCGGACCCCGGGGCGGGGCCCGCCGGCTTCCACGGGTGCAGGAAGCGGAACCGCGGCCACTTCCGGAGCAAGAGCGACGCCGAGGACGGGTGCTGAGCGGGCCGGGCCGGGCGGGCAGTAAAGGTTTCCGCTGGAGCTGGGCTCGAATGTGTTTCCGTGTCCCTCGGGGCCCGCGGGAGGCGGGCCTGGCCCGGAGCTGGGCGTTCCCGCGTGCTGCAGGGGTTTGCCCCCGGGTGCAGACCCCCGGGCGCCCCCAGGGTTCCTCCCCCGCCGCAAAGGAATCACGAGCACCCACGGAGCCTGGAGCAGGATCTCTGAGATAGCGGGTACACGGGTACAGACAGCAGCCTCGCAGGGCGTGTTGGGGGTGACCCCGGGGCCCCACCACCGCCTGGCCTTCGGGTGCCGGTGGGGTCAGGTGTGTGCGGGCAGCCGGCCAGCCTGGGGGTGCTCCCTGCGGTCAGCCTGCCCGTCCGCGTCTGGGAGAAGGAAGGACCCGGTGGGTGGGTGAGTGAGTGAGCTGCAGGCACTGTGCGCCGGGCTCAGGGGGTCCCTGCCACCGCCCCAGCGTACCCCAGTGGGCGCTGCCCTGGGTCAGCGAATCCACCAGGGAGGACAGGAGCCCGGTGCAGTAGTTGACCTGCAGACAGAGTGGGGAGACACGGGCGCAGCCTTTAAGTGGGGCTGTCCCCCACCCCGAGGCTGTGCAGGACAGTGCTGAGGGCGGCACCTCACCTGCGACTCCAGGCCCCGGAGACGCCGGTCCTGCAGCCTCAGCCCCCCGAGGTACTTGGCCACGAAGTCCATCCTGCGGAGAGCAGCCCTGGGGTCTCGGCCCAGCTGCCCCGGTGCCACCCACCCATCCGCCCGCCCGCACCTGTGAGCGGTCTTCCGCAGCAGCTCATCCTGGCTCTCCTTGCGCTGCTTCTCCTGCCGGCTCAGGACGTTTTCCTTCTGCACCGACTCCCACGTCACGATCTTCTGGTCCAGGGGCTCGGGCAGGTCTCTCTCTGGGGGGTGGGGTGCAGGCTCAGAGCCTGGCCCGGGCACCCCCTTAGCCGGGCCGGGCCGGGGCCTCACCCAGGCATGCCCGCGTGTGCCGGGCCTCCTTCCGGAAGACACGCTTGAGCACCAGGCTCAGGTGGCTGAAAAGGATCAGCGGGGGCGCCAGGGCTGGGCGCTCGTGGTACTCCACGATCAGGTGGTAGCGCTGGAACTTCCAGAAGGTGTCGGCGTTGCCCTGCACCACCTGGAACGTGTAGCTGGCGGCAGAACCAGGCGGTGGCTTGAGATGGGGCTGCCGTGCCCCCGCGACACCCCACCCCACCCCACCCCAACTGCTGTGCTGGGTGCCCCCGACCTGAACATGGCGATGAGCAGGTTCATGAGCAGCACGTTGGTCACCAGCAGGAAGGCCACCAGCAGCAGGATGACCAGCCAGTTGGCGAACAGGTTGGGGCAGGAGGCCGAGTCCTGCCCCAGCAGGGGGTGCAGGGAGCAGTTCACGCGGGCTTCTGGAAGGAGGGGACCCACATCACGCACGCGGGTCTGGGCCGCTGGCTGCATTGTCGCTGGCGGCCAGGAGGGGGCGCGCGGGAGCGCAGCAGGCCGAGGCTGCGGCGTAGGAGCGTTTCACGCAGAAACGGGCACGGTGGGGAACGCTGTGTGCTGCAGGTATGCTGCGGGCTGGGTGTGCACGGGATGTGCTCTCGCCCATGATGATGATGTGGTTGAGTGTATGTGAGGAATGGCACCTGTGTGTATGTGTAGGTGCACATGCACGATGCGCATGTGTGGGGACACGTCTGGCGTGTGTGTGTGTGTGTGTGTTGGGTGCGAGGTGATCACATGGCTGCAGGCAGTGCTGGCAAGGGACAGTCCCTCCTGGTCTTTGCACGGCAGGGTCTGCCTGCCCGGGATGCTGGGGGCGACTGAACTCAAGGCCTCGCTGGCTCACGTGTCAGGAGTGAATCTGGGGCACGGGGCCCCTGGACAGCAGGCTGGAGGCTGAGAACCCCACTGGCTCCTGTGTCCCCCAGCGGGGGATTAATTGCTGTTGCCTTCGCCACCCGCTCCATGGCACCCAGCACCGCCTGGCTGAGGGACGGCAGGAGGGCGGCTCAGGCCCTGCTACAGGTTCCAGGTGGTGCAGCTGCCCAGCCCACCTCCCCTCAGCTGGGGTGACCTCAGGGTGCTGTGCTCCACCCCCGGAGACCCCACTCAGGGTACCCCATGACCCCCACAGGCCACTGTCCCCTTCACCCATGGTGTCTGGGCACTACAGGGGCCAGCGTGGGAAAGTGCCCCCATACTGTCCCATCGGGAGGGAACCCCGTGCAGCTGCCTGCCCCGGTGGCACCCACTGACCCACCCCTCTCCACGTCCAGCCGCCTTTCCCCACCTCCTGGGGAGGGCCTCTCCGCTCACCCTGTCCTGTCTGCCCAGACCTACTTGTCCTGGGAAGTCTCAGGGTCCCAGGACCCTCCACCCAGCACAGGGGCTGGCCAGTCCCGCGTGACCAATGCTACTCCAGCCCACGTGGCCCAGGGGGTCACAGGCCAGGGGCCCACCCTGCACCCCCAGAAGCCAGGTGGGAGGCCACCCTGCTCCAGCCAGCCCCCTCCCGGACCACGCACCGTCGATCTCATCCAGGGGGATCTGGCCGAAGATCTGCAGGTAAGGGCGGTAGAACACGCGGCGGAAGATCCACTCGGGCCGGCCGTCGTGGGGGTGCAGCAGCGCCTGCGTGGTCACGCCGTAGGCCACCAGCCACACGCTCAGGAAGAAGAGGAAGAAGAAGACATCCTTCATCTGCGGGAGGGGGCGCAATGTGGGCCCGGGCCTTGGTGCCGCGGCGGGCGGCCAGGGGTCAGGACTCACCATGCGCTCCACGATGATGATCTTGGGGCCCAGCTGCTTGTGGATGGCGAAGATGTGGATGAGGCGGAGGGTGAAGACCATGAAGTCCATGGCGAGGACCGCGCGGCCGGCTTCAAACAGGGGCGGCAGCATCCTGGGGCAGGCGGGATGCACAAGCTGCGGGCGCCCGGTGGGCTTCCCCAGGGGGCCCGGGGCCCTCCCACAGGGGCCTGGGCCCCTCCCACACCTGCAGGTGACTCCACCAGTAAACAGGAAAATGGCCACCATGTCACACTTATTCCAGTTGTCCTCCACGTAGGCGGTGAACTTCTTCACCAGGTTTGTGTCCTCCACCGTGAAGAAGCCCTGGAGCAGGGGAGGGGTGGCAGTCGGCGTGGGGTGGGGGGGTGCTTCTGCCAGACCAGCAGCAGGATCAGGTCTAGAGCCCAGGCCAGGCCGCGTGTGTGCCCGTGGACAGACCGTGCGTGGACCCAGGCACTGGCCGCATGTGGCCCTGGGATCCAGCCGAGTGCGAGCCTGCAGCTGGGAGGAGGGTCCGGGCCTGGCCCCGCACGCACCTGCCGGATCTCCTCCAGCACCAGCGTGAAGACCCAGACGTACAAAGCGACCTCGGGCGCTGAGGGGCCCTGGGGCGGAGGCCTGAAGTCCAGCAGCAGGACGTAGGTGAAGAGGAAGAGGAAGGCGAAGTACATGAGCACGTTCCCCAGGAACACGGTCACAGGGGCACCCCAGAACTTGCGCCAGCGCGTCAGCAGGAAGGCGGCCTGCGGGCCGTGCGGGCCGGGGGTCCTGAAGTTCTGGGCCGGCTCCTTGTCCCTGCGCGGAGGAGATGACCTGCTGAGCGGGCGGCCGGGACCCCTGCCATCTCCCCCATCAGGTCCCCAGCCGCACCCTGGACCGCAGAGCAGGCTCTTCTCCGAATCCAAGCTGTCCAGTTCCTGCAGCTCCTCCTGGCCGGTTCTCAGCGGGGTCTCCTCACTGCGGACACAGGGACCCTGAGGCCGGGGCCCCGGGACGGGGGTGAAGGGCCACAGGACAGCGGGGTCGTGGGCACGCCCCAGACCCACCTGAAGGTGATGAGGTTGGTGTAGACCAGGGCCGGGCAGAGGAAGGCGCCCAGGAGGCGCAGGATGGGGGTGCCGGAGGCCATGTCCCCCCACCAGATCCTGGTCAGGAAGGCCTGGAGGGAGGGCACAGCCGTGGGGTCTCAGCCCTCCCGCCAGAGGGGACTGGAGGGCTGGGTCTAGGAGCCACGCCCCTGGAAATGTGCCCTGGGCGGGGCCCAGGAAGCCACGCCCTGGAGGTAGTGCCATGAGGGCGGGGCCTAGGAGACCACGCCCTGGGGGCGGTGTCGCGAGGGCGGGGCCTAGGAGACCACGCCCTGCAGTGTTGCTGTGAGGGTGGGCCTAGGAGACCACGCCCTGGGGGCGGTGTCACGAGGGCGGGGCCTGGGAAACCACGCCCTGCAGTGTTGCTGTGTGGGTGGGGCCTAGGAGACCACGCCCTGGAGGCGGTGTCACGGGGGCGGGGCCTAGGAGACCACGCCCTGCAGTGTTGCTGTGAGGGTGGGGCCTAGGAGACCACGCCCTGGGGGCGGTGTCACGAGGGCAGGGCCTAGGAAACCACGCCCTGCAGTGTTGCCGTGAGGGTGGGGCCTGGGAGACCACGCCCTGGGGGCGGTGTCACGAGGGCAGGGTCTAGAAGACCCACACCCTGGCGCCCGGCTGGGTAGGCGCGGCCTGCAGAGAAGACCCCGCTGGCTGCAGGGCCAGGTGAGTGGGCAAGGGCGGGCTTCGCACCTGCACCCCGTCGTGCGCGAAGAAGGCCTTGGTGTCGGCCTCGGTGGCCAGGTGCAGGCACGTGGTCCTGCTCCAGCAGCGGTTGCGGCGCACCAGCAGGGCGAAGGCGCGCTCCTCGCTGTTGCTGTAGCACTCGGAGAAGAGGTCTGCAGCGGGCACAGGCTGGCACCGTGACCCGGGGAGACCCGCTGCCCAGCCTTCCCTGAGGGCCCGTCCTCGGACTCTCCTGCCCCTGACCGCGCGACCCCGCGTCCAGCCCACCCCTAGGCCTGTGTCCGTCCGTCCATCCGTGGCCCCGAGCTCACCCAGCGCCAGCTGCTCGTAATTGGCGCCGCGCAGGGTGCGGCCCTGCCCGGCCCCCCTCTCCAGGTGCGCCATCTCCTTGAGGATCTTGCAGGCGGCCAGCGCGGCGGCCACGCCCTCCTGGCCCTGGGAGTGGGGGGGGGGGGTCAGTGAGCGGCCTGGCCACGGGGACCCAGGCCACGCCGCGGGGCTGGACACGGGGGCGCTCACCATGGCCCAGAAGTAGGTGGCCATAGGGTGACGCTGCAGCAGCACGGCCCACAGAAACAGGTCCCGCCACGGCTGCTCGCTCCTCTGGCCCAGGTCCAGCTGCCACTTCTGGCTCGGGGTGCGCCGGGCCACGCCCCGCTCCTGGACACAGGCGTCACCCCGCTGGTGCCCTCCGGGGACGCTCTCTGAAGGAGGAGCCCCCTACGCAGCCCCCCAGCAGCTCCCTGCCCAGCCCCCTTCCCCCACACCTGGGACAGCCTTTCTCCCACACCTGGGGAGCCCCTCCCACACCTGAGAGCCCCGCCCACATTTGGACCCCTCCCACACCTGGGAGCCCCGCCCACACCTGGAAGCCACGCCTGAGAGCCCCGCCCGCATTTGGACCCCTCCCACACCTGGGGAGCCCCTCCCACACCTGGGAGCCCCGCCCACACCCGGGCCCCGCCCACACCTGGAAGCCACGCCCGGGAGCCCCGCCCACACCCGAGAGCCCCGCCCGCATTTGGACCCCTCCCACACCTGGGGAGCTCCGCCCACATTTGGACCCCGCCCACACCTGGGAGCCCCGCCCATACCTGGGAGCCCCGCCCCCACCTGGTAGAGGCCGCGGCAGGCGTCGTGCAGGAAGTCCTTGAGCAGGCGGGCCACGTCGTGCAGCGAGAAGGCGGGCGCGCCCGCGGGGGGCTCGCGGGGGTGCTGCGCGCCCAGGCCGGCCAGCGTCAGGCGGCCCTCCTCGTGCTTGCGCCGCAGCAGCGCGGCCGCCAGGCTGTTGCGGGGCGCCGCGCGGTACAGCTGCTGCAGGCGCGCGTAGGTCAGGAAGTCGGTCACGTCGGCGCCGTGGTCCACGAAGAGGCGCACGAACTCGGGCTTGTCGCCCATGAGCGCGTCCATGAGCACCTCCTCCAGGTGGCGCGACTGCGGGGCCCGGGCGGGCGGTGAGCGCGCGGCGGGCGGGCGGGGGCCGGCCGGGGCGGGAGGGGGCGGCCGCACCTGCCACTCCACGTCCCCGCCGAACAGCTCGCTCTTGGCGACGTCCACGCGGTCCCAGGCCACGGCCAGCTTGAGCTCGTCCAGGTAGTCCCGCGGGTCCTGGCTGTGGCTCTTGCAGGCTGCCGCAGAGAGGGCCCCAGCTGGGTCTCCAGGGCACAGGGAGCGGGGGGCGCTCCGGGCCGCGGGGAGGGGGGGCGCCTGGGCACCAACGGCCCCCAGGGGTCCAGGGCTTCCCGCAGGAGGACGCCTGGTCAGCGTCCACGGGGCCCCCGCTGGCAGCCACCGTGCTGCCTCCGGCAGAGAGGGGTGCGGTTGGCGGGTGGGGCGCAGAGGGGTGAGTCCCTGAGACCCCTTCCCGAGACCTGCAGTGTCGAGTACGGGCCAGACCCCAAAGCCACAAACTCGCGAGCAGATTCTGGATGAAAGAGGACCTGGGGTGCGGGGACACTCCTGTGCCGAGTCCTTTGGGGGCCTCTGTGGGTGTGGGCAGCCTATAGTGTCCTGTGCATGTGTGCTGAGGAACATGTTTGTCAGAGCACAGGTGTGCCATGCATGTGTGTGTGTTGTGTGTGCATGTGTGTGCACTGTGGTATGTGCTGTGTGTGGATGCCATGCGTGTGTGGTTGCCGTGCATGTGGGTTTGTGCAAGTATGTGAGCTGTGCATGTCTGTGTGTGCTGTGGTGTGTGCCGTGCATGTGTGTGTGTGTGCTGAGGGTTGTCCTGGGCCCGGGGGTGTCTGTGGGTGCTGAGGCCCCCGGAAATAGTGTAGGACACAGTGTCGGCCTCTGGGACAGCCCCTTCCCCCACTGACACTGCTGCTGTGCTCTGACCAGGGGACACGCACCGCAGCCATGATCACTCACAGAAGCATGTGCACAGACTGCCAGTACCCATGCACATAGACGCACACGCACACACTACAGTGCACGGGCAGTCACGCAGAAGTCTGCCATCCCCGCTGTCCCGCCATCCCGCCGTCCCTGCCGTCCCGCATCCCCACCCTGCCCAGGTGGGTCTCCCCACTCACCCTTCACCAGCGCCTTGAGGATGACGGTGTCCAGCTCCTCAGAGCCCTCCTGCTCGAAGTCGTACACTGTGACCAGGTGCTGGTGCGCCGTCACCACCTGCAGCTGGACACCGGTATGAGCGTGACCCCCCCCCCCCCCGCCAAGGGCAGGGCGCCCCACGGCGCGGGGTCTCCCGGGGGCACCTACCTGCTGGGTGAAGCGCAGCACGTCGTCACAGGAGAAGTGCTCGCCAGGGAACTTCTCCCGGAGCTGCTTCTCCACCACGCGGGGCACCACCAGGTGCGGCTGCGTCACCAGCACGGCCAGCACGTCCGCCAGACCCCCCGAGCCCGCCAGGACCAGCCAGGGGGCCGCGTGCGCCACGGAGCGGGAGAGCCTCTGGGGGGCACCCAGAGCGGCCGTCAGCACCGGGCCAAGGGCCCTCCCACCCTTGCCCGGGCTCTGGAGACCCGCTCACCTCCAGGGTGTGGGGGTCCCCGTTGATTAGCAGGCACAGGACCGGGATCTCAATGCTGCCTGTGCCTGCGGCCAGGACAGGTGGCCCGTCCGTGAAGGGCCCAGGGCGGACCCCCTTCCCCGGAGACACTTGGGACCCGCTCTTCCTGGGGGACAGTGGGGACCCTCCCTTCCCCTGGGCTGCCTAGAGGCTCTTCCAGTGGAGCTGGCCCTGGGGTTTGCTCTGGGATGTGTCTGGCCCCTGGGTGGCTTTGAAGTTGTGGGGTGCAACAGGACCAAGGCGACACTGGCCTTCTCACCCGAGCTCAGCCAGATCACAGAGGAACCCTGGGGGATGCCCCCAAACCTAGATGTACCAGGGGCTCAAGAGAACCCGCCACCCGCCTTGCTCCAGGCTCCGACCTGGGGTTCCTGATGCAGCAGGCGGGGGTCACCCTGCTCCCGGCCTGGTGCCCTCTCATTCCAAAACCAACACCTGGCCTCGTGTGGAGAGAACTCGGGGCACCCGCCTCCCCAACCCCGGCTTTGCCCATGGAATTGACTGGGGGGGGGGGGTCCTGTAAAGCCCTGCTGGGAGACTGCCCCCTGGTGGAGGCATGTGGCATGACAGGCATAGGAACCCCTCCCCCCCCCCACCACACACACACTGGACCCCAGAACCAGACCCCGCGGCCTCACCGCCGTAGGGGACCCTCTGCTCCGAGATATATTTCTCCAGCTGCAGCCGCAGCTCCGTGGCCCCATCCGCCTTCCCGGGCGCTCCCGCCTCCACCAGGATGAAGTGCGAGTGGTTGATGTCCAGCGGGCACAAGGGACCCTGGCCGCCGCCGTCCCCAGGGTATTTGACGGGGACATCGTCCTGCGTGACCGTGTCCACGGTGAGGCAGCAGCCAGTTCCAGGGGACCCCAGCCTCGTCTGCTTGAATATCCCGAGGGGACCCCATGGCCACTCCCAGGACTGGGCAGTGCCTGGGCTGGGGTGGACACACTCAGACACAGCTTGGCGAGGGGTGTTGGGGCGCAGGACCCGAGGGGGCCCGTGGAGGGCCTGGCAGTCCCTGCCCAGGGGGTCAGGGTGGTGCTGGCTCTCGGGGTCCGTCCCCCACCCCCCTGATGGCGCCAGCCGGCTCTCACCCTCTCTCCGCCCAGGTCCCCCAGTCCCCGCTGACCTGCTGTCCACCTGTCTCTAGGACCCCGTACAGACACTGGGGACTTGCAGTGTCCCCCGGATCTCACCCGCGCGCCATCCAGGAGCTGCCGATGGAGCACCCGGCCCAGCAGGGCGAGGCCGATGGTCACCACACGGTTCTGGGAGGACGTGCTGGCCAGTGAGTGGTCACGCACCGCCTGCCCCACGTGCCGGGCGAGGCCCACCCGCAGCGCACTGGTCAGGATCCAGGCCCCTGTGGGCATGGGGGGCGTTGAGTGGGCTGCCCGCAGGCTGGGGAGGGCTTGCGGGGTCCCCACCACGTCGGGGGCTGTGGGGTGGGGGGTTGGGGGCGCACCCGTGCTCTGCGCTGCCTTCACCAGCCCGTGGCGCAGCACGTCCCGCAGCTGGGCCCGCACGGCCAGCGGCCGCTCCTCGCCCTCCAGGGACACCACCAGGTTGGGGGCGGGCAGGTGCCACTCGGTCAGCAGGAGGTCAAAGATGACAGAGGGGGCCACGCCGCTGGGCACCTTCACGAACTGCGGGCGATGGGCAGGGACGGGAGGGACGGGCCCACGTGGAGGGGGTTCTCAGGGCCCCCCACCCATGCAGGGGTCCCGGGGGCCCTGTGAGGGGAGCGTGGGAGGGGCAGCCAGCATGGGGGGTGGTCTTGCCCGCAGGGGGCGCCTTACCTTGCTCCGCTTCTTCCCCGTCCCTCCAAAGTCGATCTCCCCCCGGCACAGACCCGGCCCCCGCCTGCTGCTTCCGGGGCTGCTGCCCCCCGGCTCCATGTCCCTGTGGGGCAGAGCACCCCAAGTGTGGGCCTGTACGGCGCCCCCAAGGCCCGCTTCCAGCGCCCACCCGCGGGGGCTCACCTGTCCTGGGCACGCCGAGTCTCTGGGCTGTGCAGGCAGAGGGTGTCCTGGGAGCCCCCAGACACCTGCGTCTCAGAGCTTGTGGCTCTGCGCTCACAGGGACAGCCATGCCACCCTCTCCGGAGGCCGCGGGGGTCCCTGAGCCTCTGTGTGGCGGGGGCCGCAGTGCCGTCCTGACACCACGTGTTCCCCCGTAAAGCCAAGCCCCCGCCACACTGAGGGCGAGGCCCTATGGGAAGGGGGGAGGGTGGGACCCTCCTGGGTCTTGGGGGCGCCCGGTCCCAGTGCCCTTGAGACCTGAGAGGGTTTGTTGGAGACAAAGGTGACCCCCAGGACCAGCCCAGACTAGAGGGCTGTGGGGAGCGGGCAGGGTGGCGGAATCGCCCGCAGTGTCTGTTCTGCCTGGGTGCTAGTGTCAGAAGGGGGGCTGGGGTGTACACCCCTGGGTGGCAGGGGACCTGGGCTCCAGGGCTCTGCTGGTGGCTAATGCAGGTCGCCGGCCCTGTAGAGACTATGGGAGTCCTGGGCTGGGCGGCCAATCCTGGCTGCCCCCGTCCCCCCTCCTGTCTCTGTCCCTGCCCCTGCCCCATGCCCATCTGTGTCCCTGTCCCCTTCCTTGTCTCTACCCCCACTGCTGCCTGTCCCCGGCCTGTCCCTGTCCCCTTAGGTTCCTGCACCTGTGTCCAGGGTGACCTGGGGGGGGACCCTGGGTCCTTGGGAGGCTCCTGCAAACCCCGCATCTGTGGCTCAGGAGGGGCAACTTGGGGTCCCACCCCCCAGCACGGGCATGATGGTCAGTGAGTGCCCCTCTCCCGGCTGACAGGGTTTGGGGGGTCTGTGTGTGGCCTCACCAAACCCAGAGACCCCGCCCCTGGGTCGGGCACACAGGAGACTGCAGAGAGGCCTCCTGGGTGGGCTCTTGGAAATGTTCCCCCACAATCAGCTCTCTCAGCCAGAGGGAGCACGCCCCACCACACCCAGACTACTTCCGGGGGGCCCTGGGGGGCACCAGGCAAATGCGCCCGTTGGGGCTGGGCATGCAAAGGACCAATTTGCATGGCAGGTGTGTGGGTCCCCAGGCCCCTTGTTCCTGGAGGGGGTGGGGGCCAGTGAGTGGAGGGCTCTAGGGGACCCCACGGCAGCCCCGCAGCGTTTGGGTGCAGAGGCTGATGCACCCTCAATAGCGGGGCAGAGATGCCGCGGGGGTCGGCTGCAGGGGGGAGACATGGGGTGCAGCCTGGTGAGGGTCTCAGCCCCCACGATGCCCCCGAGATCGGTAGGGAGTCCCGGGCGGGGTCCCCAGCAGCCTCTCTGGCCGCTCGGATAGATGCTGTCCCAGACCCAGGGATGCCCCCGAGCACAGTCTGAGCCTGGGGGGCCTCCCACATCTGCTCTCCCTGTGGGAAGGAAGGACCCCACTGGGCCCAGCGGGATCTGCGGCGCCCGCACCTACCTGCCGTGTGTCTCCCTGGCACTCCGACATGTGGCCGATGTCCTGCGAGCGTGGGGCAGTCTGCTGGTGGCTGCCCGATGCTCGGCCTGGGGGCCCGGCCCGACTCCGCCCACCCCAGCCTGCCCCGGGGCTGGCTCACACCTGGCCCCGCCCCCTTCAGGCCCCGCCTCAGTCACAAGCCCAGTCGGCCCCGCCCCAGACACAAGCCCAACCGGCCCCGCCCACTCCAGGCCCCGCCCCAGACACAATTCCAACCGGCCCCGCCCACTTCAGGCCCCGCCCCGGACACAAATCCAACCGGTCCCGCCCACTTCAGGCCCCGCCCCAGATACAAGCCCAATCGGCCCCGCCCACTCCAGACCCACCCCAGACACAATTCCAACCGGCCCCGCCCACTCCAGGCCCCGCCCCGGACACAAATCCAATCGGTCCCGCCCCCTTCAGGCCCCACCCCAGTCACAAGCCCAGTCGGCCCCGCCCCAGACACAAGCCCAACCGGCCCCGCCCACTCCAGACCCACCCCAGACACAATTCCAACCGGCCCCGCCCACTTCAGGCCCCGCCCCGGACACAAATCCAACCGGTCCCGCCCACTTCAGGCCCCGCCCCAGTCACAAGTCCAGCCGGCCCCGCCCCAGACACAAGCCCAACCGGCCCCGCCCACTCCAGACCCACCCCAGACACAATTCCAACCGGCCCCGCCCACTTCAGGCCCCGCCCCGGACGCAAATCCAACCGGTCCCGCCCACTTCAGGCCCCGCCCCAGATACAAGCCCAATCGGCCCCGCCCACTCCAGGCTCCGCCCCAGGCACTTGCTCACACTTGGCCCCACTCAGACACTGCTCAATCTGGCCACGCCCATTTCAGGCCCCGCCCCCACGCCGGTCTCGGTCTTGGTTGGCCCCGCCCACCCAGGCCCCGCCCCCAGCGCCTCGCTCGCCCAGGCCCGTCCACGGGGCCTGCTGTGTCCCCGCAGGCCAGGCTGAGTCCCGGCCGACACGCCTCAGTTCCTCCTCCAGCACAGGGAACCGCTGAGCCCAGGTGGTGGCAGATACCGACCCCCGGCCGGATCCCCGCGAATCCACCCCCCAAGTGACCCAGTGTCCAGCGGTGGGACCGTGGCCGCACCCCGCGGGACTCTGCAGCCCCTGGACACTGGCCGGCGCCGCATCCTGCGGCCTGCCTGCCGGCCACCAGAGGGCACCCCAGGACCGCGGAGCGGCCGGGCAGCCCGGGGTCCACCCCCAGTGGGCGGCTCCGCTCCGGAGCTCGGAGCTCCAGGGGCTCTGGAGGGGCCTCCCCGGCCGCCCCGCGGGCCGGGCCATGAGGCCTGGCGACCCCCGGGTCAGCCCCTGCCCAGGGTCAGGCCGGTCCCGAGACCCCTCCGCCCAGTGGCCGCCTCAGCCCCTCATGGCTTCCGCTGCCTGACAGCACCAGGGCTGACCTCCAGCCCCCAGGCTGCCCGCTGACCACCTTCTCGGCCCGGTTTGCGCTGCCCAACACCCCCTGCCCCCTCCCTCTGCGCTGCTCCCAGGCCCTGCGGGCGGGCGCTGCTCTCAGCTCTCAGAGGGGCTGGCGGGCTGGCGAGTAGCCCTCAGCCCTCTGCTCCACACACCCACGCCAGCCCCTGGGCCCCAAGCTGACCCAGGGCTAGTGAGTGAAGGGGTGAGGGGGTGAAGGAGTGAAAGAGGGGGGCCAATGAGGGGGTGAGGGGATGAGGGGGTGAGTCAGTGAGGGGTGAGTGGATGAGGGGGTGAGTGACTGAGGGAGGGAGTGAATGAGGGGTTAGTGAGTGAGGGGTGAGTGAGGGGGAATGACTGAGGCTGAGGGAGGGGTGAGTGAGGGTGAGGGAGTGAGGGAGGGGTTAGGGGTGAGTGAGTGAGGGTGAGGGAGGGGTGACTGAGAGTGAGGGAGTGAGGGTGAGGGAGGGGTGAGTGATGGGGTGTATGTCAGTTTCTGAACCTAGGGGCAGGCAGGACCATCCAAACCCCTGGGGCTACTCCGGGGAGGGGCCCCCGGGGTGGGGTGCTGTGAGGATTAGAGGGGCCCTGTTGCTGTCCTCAGTGTCCCTTGGTGAGATTGGCCTCAGGTGGGGACCCAGTGACCTCCTTCAGGGGAGTCTGTGTCCCCTTCGCGGGCCCCTCAGAGCTGCGGAGCCCCCCCGGGAAGCTGGGCCGACAGGATGAGGGTCCCCCGGGGGGCCGCTGACATGGACGTGGTGCTTGGGGACCCAGCCTTGACCAGAGTTGGGGAGTCTGTTCAGGACCGTGACATGCGCTGGAGGCAGAGTTGGGGCCCCGTGGTGCCCCGAGATGGACGTCTGGGCTCAGCCCAGGTTCTGCCCGGGGAGTGCGGCCAGTGAGGACCATGAGGCTCAGGAAGGGGTCCCTCGACCCCCACTGTCGCGAGGGGCAGAGTGCTGGCCTGATGAGGTGGGGTCCCAGGCTCTCGGGGGGGCCCCAGGGCAGGAGCTGAGGGGCTGTGTCCGAGGGCGCAGGGCACAGCATGTCTGTGTGTGTGTGTGTGTGTGTGTGTGTGTGCACGCGTGCACGTACACGGGTACCCTCCCTCCACCCCCGTCCCCCCATCACCCACCATCCATTTACCCTCCCACCCATCCACCCACTATCCACCACCCACCCATGCACCACCTGTGTCTGAGTGTGTCGGTGTGCGTGTGTAGGTATGTGTGAGTGTGTCAGTGTGTGTGTCTGAGTGTCTGTGTGCGTGTCCAGCCCTGCATCCCCGTGTTTGGCCCCACATACTGCTCTTGTCTGCAGGTAGGGCTGCAGCCTCTGGGTTGGGGCCAGCCGCCCGCCGTCCAGCCCAGTGGCCCCCCACCCGGGCCCCTCAGGAGGCCCATACCTCAGTGCTCCCTGCCCTGGAGCCAGCGGGAAGTGTTGAAGCTGCTTCCTGTGCGGGCTGCCGGGTGCAACCCCCATCCGCCCGCCCACTCCTCACCGCCAGCCCCAGCTCACTGGGATGGCCAGCGCGGGTCATTGAGCAACTCTGTCAGGTGAGCCGCACACAAAGGACAAAGAGACAAACATCTGACTAAAGAGAGGCAGAATTTAAATGGCCCGGGAGGAAAAGAAAGCGGGGTGGAACTGGAGGTGAAAAGAATTTCATTTTTAAATGGGTTGGTTAAAGAATACCTCAGTGGGAACATACGTTCGCACAAATACCTGAAGGAGAGGTAGTCCGTCCACCATACACTTATTTATCCACCAGCCTCAGCCAGTGCTCTTCCACCCACCCTCCGTCCACCCGTCCACCCTCCACCCATTCATCCGTCCACCCATCCATCCGTCCACCCACCCATCCACCCTCCATCCTTCCATCCACCCATCCACCCACCCATCCATCCACCCATCCACCCATCCACTCATCCATCCATCCACCCATCCACCCATCCACTCATCCATCCACCCATCCACCCATCCACTCATCCATCCATCCATCCATCCACCCATCCACCCACCCATCTATCCACCCATCCACCCATCCACTCATCCATCCACCCATCCATCCATCCATCCACCCATCTACCCACCCATCTATCCACCCATCCACCCATCCACCCATCCACTCATCCATCCACTCATCCATCCATCCACCCACCCATCCACCCATCTACTCATCCATCCACCCATCCATCCATCCATCCATCCATCCATCCATCCACCCACCCATCCACCCATCCGCTCATCCATCCATCCACCCATCCACCCATCCATCCATCCATCCATCCACCCATCCACCCATCCACTCATCCATCCACCCATCCATCCACCCATCCACCCATCCACTCATCCATCCATCCACCCACCCATCCACCCACACATCCATCCACCCATCCACCCACCCACCCATCCATCCACCCATCCACCCATCCACTCATCCATCCATCCACCCATCCACCCATCCACCCATCCATCCACCCATCCACCCACCCACCCACCCATCTACTCCCACCATCCGCCTGCCACCACCCCCTTCTCCTGGGCCTGTCCCCTTCTGTCCCCCTCAGCCTCCCGTGCGTACCTCCTTTCCCTCTGGCCACCTGCGGGTCCCCCTGGCCGGCACCTGGCCTCCTCACAGAGGGCAGTGAGTCAGCGCTGGCTGGCCTCGGGCCCGCGCTGGTGTGGGCACGGCTCTCCCACAGCCCTCGGGCACTGTGGGGCAGCAGGGGCCGTGGGCGGGTGCCGGGCGCGGCCACTCGCCCAGTGTGTGGCTTCTCATGCGCCTGTCCTGGGTCCCCGCGTCCCCGTGCTCCCGCCCTCCCCCACATGGTCACCGAGCCTGGCTGGGAACTCAGTAGGCGCCTATTAAATGCCAGCGGGGGTTGAGTCACCCTCCTCCTCCTCCTCCTTCTCTTCCTTCTCCTCCCCCTCCTCCCCCGCGTACCCTCAGCCTCCCCTGCTCCGTGCTGTCCCCCGGCCGCTCAGCTCCTGCACGTCCCCGAGGGGGCTCAGAGGCCTGCAGACGGCAACCCGGGGTCCCTGCAGTGTGGGGTCCGGCTGCCACCCTCGGCGCCCACCTGAGCGAGGCCCCAGTCCAGTCCTGCAGCACCCGAGGGTCATGTCCGGCGCGGGTGTGCGTCTGTCCAGCCTTTGGGCTGCGAGTGGCCGGGCTGCATGGAGCAGCCACAGTCTGGCTGACGGGGCGGCCCCACTGTGACCTTCCCGCCCCCCCCAACCTCGAGCTGGGAACAGCCCAATTCCCACCCTGTCCTCCCTCCCTGGGGCTGCCTCTTGGCTTCTGGGGGCTGTCTCTGCAGTGCCGTGGGGAACGGGGAGGCTGGGTGACCGGCGGGAGCTTCTAAAGGTGTGGGGGGCGGGAAATATGCCCCACGGAGGGCCAGAGGCTGGGACACCGTGAGCCCGAGCCCAGGCAGGGACATCCCAGTGTGCCCAGAGCCTGGGCCCCACCCCATCCCAGCCGTGTCCGTGGGCCCGTGTCCGCAGAGCAAACTCGGGGCTCCTATCAGACAGAACCATCTGGAACCGCCGAGCACGGGACGCGAGGCCAGCCGCAAGGAGGGAGGCGGCCTGTCAGATGACCGGGCTCAGGGACCGGGAGCCGGCTGCGGGGAGGGCACAATGACCCCAGGCCTGTGAGCGGAGGGGCAGCTTCCTGGGACTGTGCCTGGGGGACTCAGGGGGGCGAGCAAAGGCAAGTTGGGCGACTTTCCAGAACATTCCGAGGCCCTCACAGACAGAGCCTTCTGTGTCCCGAGGGCAGGAGAGTCTGGTCAGGTCAGGGGCGGCCTGCGCAGGGGCTGGGTGGGCTGCCCCGCCCCCTCCCGCTGTCAAGCTCATCTCCAGGGTTTCTCTTGGCCTCAGCCCTGCCCCTCCCCCTCCCCCCACCCAGGGGAGCCGGAGCCCAGGCATCAGGACCCCCGCCTGCAGGACTCAGTCCTCAGGGGTCGTCCTCCCCACCCCTGTCTTCCGGCTGAGGCAACACTTGGCTCTGGAGGAGGCGGGACCCGATCTCGGGGTCACTGCTGGCACGTGGCCCCTGGGCCCATGCAGGGGGGGCAGCAAATCGCAGACCCCCAGCGCCCGCCCCGCAGCCCCACTGCACCCCAGAGCCGGGTTCGTGGGGAGGTGGCGGAACCCACAATCCTGCTGTGTTTTGTTTCCAGGACTCGGAGCCCTGGCAGCTGGCCAGCCCGTCAAACGTCCGTTTCCTCCGCGGCCTTCTGACCGCTCTTGGTTCCGGTGCTGACCGGCTCCTCGCAGGGTCCAGTGGCAGAGAGGGACGGGCTGAGGGGGTCAGTGCAGGCCCCGTCCTGCGGCAGGGAGCCGGCTGAGGGCGCCACCCCCACTGAGGGAGCCAGGCTTTCCGTTTCTGTGGCAGAGCGGGGGTCCCCGCAGGAAGTGCCATGGCCCCAGGGTGCCTCAGACCCGTGTTCAGGAAAGGAACACAGCAAAGGCCCTCTGGGCCCTGATGACCTCAGCGCAGGCCCGGGGTCCCTCCAGGCCCCACACTGCTGAGGGCCTGCCTCTCATCCTTGTCTGCGAATGGAATGTTGTGATGGGCGCAAACATGTTTGTGCACATGTGTGTGTGTGAGCGTGCGTGTGCATGCATGTGTGTATATATTTGTCTTTATGTGTGCATGTGTGTCCTTGTGTATGCAGGTGTGTGTGCACGTCCTGGACACCCCAGCATGCCCGGCTGTGCCAAGCTGCACCGGCCCTGGCCTGTCCGTTGCCCCAACCACAACCGACAGTCTCTGGACATCAGGAAGAAAAGCAAGTCCCCCGTGGCAGAGTCCTTTGACCTTTGCCCGCTCCTTGTGCCCTGGTCAGTTGTCCAGGTGATTTCAGGGCGACCCCTGCTTCCCACGGGGCCTGCCGCGCTCTGAGGTCAGAGGCGTGAGGCCTCCACGCCCATCCGAGAACCCCCTTCCGCGCCAAGGTTATAACCCACTGCTGTCCCTGCCCGGGCTGGAGCTCCGTGCTGCCCGGTCCCCAGGTCCAGCCGTCTGCCGGGCTTACTCAGGCTCGGGGCGGGGGTCCCTGCAGACGCCCCTTCCCTTCCCCTGGGGCTCCCCGAGGCCGGGTTGGCCAACAGCGGCCTTCCTTCCTCTGTGCCTGTCCTGGCCTTTCCGGGCCCCGGAGGCCGCTGCCCGCCCGCCCCGCTGTCCCCCTGGTCCCCCTCATCCTCGCAGCCTCCCCAGAAGGCGGGGGCGGCCGCGGCACGGGTGACCCCGCCGTGACAGCCGCCGCGACGGGAGCTGGCCTCTGCGCAGCAGCGGGCCGGCCACACCTGCTCCTGCAAGCCCGGCCAGCCGAGCCCGGGTCCCCTGCCCCGCGGGGGGTCCCCAGGTCCAGCCCGCGCGCTGCCCTCCCCGCGTCCTCTGGGTGACTCAGCGGCGGCGCCGCGCGCGGGGGCCGCCCCCTCCAGGTTGGCCCCGGGCGGGCGCGTGTCCCGGGCGGGCGCGCCGGACCCGGGCCGGGGGCGGGCAGGTGGGGGCAGGTGCGGCCGGCGGGGGAGGGGCGCAGGTGCGCGGGGCGGGGTGCGCGGGGCGGGGCGCGGCGCGACGGGCCTCCGGGGACGGGGACCGGCCAGTGCGCCCCGCGGCCGCCCGCGCGCAGCTCGCCCCGCCTGGCCATGGCCGCGTCCCCGGGCCGGCCCGAGCGCGCGCGCTGGGGCCTGGGCCGCCTGGCCGGCGCGCGGAGGGGCAGCGCGGGCGCGGCCAGGAGGGGCCCCTGCCCGCTGGAGCTGGCCGAGGGCGGCGCGGCCGCCGGCGCCCACTACGCGCCCGTGGCGCCCCCCGCCGCGCGCCCCGCCGCCGCGCCCCCCGAGCGCCCGCCCGCCGGCCCGGACCCGCGCGTGTCCGTGTCCGCCTACGGCGCGCGGCGGCCGCTGCTGGCGCGGACGCACGTCCAGGGCCGCGTGTACAACTTCCTCGAGCGCCCCACGGGCTGGAAGTGCTTCGCCTACCACTTCGCCGTGTGAGTGCGGGCCGGGGGCTGGGGGGCCGCGGGCGACGGTCAGCGGAGGAGGCAGGGCCGCCCCCAGGTGACCGACCTCCCGGCGCACCTGGACGGGCAGGGCAGGGCAGGGCAGGGCAGGGCAGGGCAGGGCAGGGCGCGAGGGAGCCCAGCGCCGCCGAGGGCAGCGCGGCTCTGCGCCCTGGGCTGGCGCTGACCGCCGTCCGCAGGGGCTCTGGGGGGCGGGAGACCCCCATCCGCCTCGCTCCTGGAGGGGCTGGCCTGGGGGCGGGGACCGGGCGAGGACGCGCAGGAGCAGTGAGACGGGGTGATAGATAGATGGGGGGCCGTGGTGGGGGGCCGCGTTGGGGGGCCATGACAGGGCAGTGATGGGGTCCGTGCTGGGGTCCGTGCTGCGGGTCCGTGCTGGGGTCCATGCTGGGGGTCCGTGTTGGGGGCGTGATGGGGTGGCGATGCGGCCGTGCCTTCTGGGGCCCCAGAGCGTGTTGGCGGGTCCCCAGCCAGAGGCGGGCCACGTGTCTGGTGAGGTGGCACTGGCCTGTGCAGGGGTGCAGTGACCGGGACCCTGAGTCCCCCAGGCCGGCCCCTCCGTACTGCTGCGGGTCCTGTGCCCGCCCAGTGCTGGCCGGGCCGTGCGGGGCAGGGGCGCGGCCGGCGCCCGCCGAGGAAGTCCGTGCCCGCGTCTGTTTCTTCCTGACCCGATTGTTCAGCCGGCGGAAGTTTCTGAGCGTCATCCCAGATGCCCTGGGAGCCCCCCACGCCTCCCCTGGGGGCAGCGAGGGTGTCCCGGGTCAGCCGGCCGGGCCGCCAGGGCTGGGGGGCTGCTTGAGGCTTGGTACCCCGCTGCTGGCCTCCCAGAGGGCCGGCTCCCCGCCTGCCCCTCCTGCCTGAGGGGTGCCCAGTGCCCCGTTGGGCCGCCCGCAGCTGTGTGCCAGGCCCTGGCCTTGGCAAGGCCGGTTGTGAAACGGGGGGCAAGAGGGGTTTGAGGCTCCGCTTCCGGCCGGCCTGCGGGAGGGTGGGGCGCTGGTCAGGATTTCCTGCCCCTCCTCCAGGGGAGCCCCAGCTGGGGGGGCCAGGGCCTTCCTGCCGGGGCGGGGGGCAGGACACGGAAGGGCCCTGGCCCTGCCCCGCGGGCTTCCTGCCCCAGGAAGGTCGTACCCCCCATCTGGGCCCAAGGGTCCCCGGGCTGCCTGGTCAGCGCCTCTCCCCTTACTTGGGGGGCCCAGGGCGGCTCTTCCTGCAGGGTGGGGGTGGGGCCGAGGTGGGAGCGGTGGGTGCCCCTGGCCCGGCCAGCACCGTGCCCGCGCCCAGAGCCACCAGGCCTGGTTAATCATTGACCTGCGGCCTTTGTTCCGCCGACAGACAGAGCCCTGAGGCCAGTCCCGCGTCATACCCGTGTGGGCTCCTGGGTGGGTCCTGAGGCAGCAGGGGGTCTGAGGACACAGGCAGGGGGCTGCGACTGGGCCTCCAGCTGCCCCCGGCCCTTCACTCCTCTCCCACTGCCCACACTGGCCGCCTCCTCCTGGCTGTCTGCCAGGGCTGCAGGGGATGCCCTGGCAGGTGGAGGTGTGCAGGGGCTGCCCCAGGTCAGGCTGCTCTCTGGCTCACCCCACACCCACACCGCCCCGAGGCTCCTGGGAAACTGGGGGGGGGGTCCACGTGGCCTGGGGTGTGGGGGCCTCTGCAGGCCGGATGGCCTCCTCGGTCCATCTCAGAGCCTGGGCCAGGTGACCAGGTGCCGTGGGGACGCCACCTCGGGCCTGTCAGGGTCCAGTCAGAGGGTTCGGGATGCAGGTGCTCAGAGGGCCGGGCCGGGGGCTGGGGTGAGGCCCCCGGGGTGCGGCCAGGGCCCCTGGGCCAGGGTCCAGCCTCTGGCCGACACAGTGCTTTGTTGTTCCAGCCTGTCTGTGGGGCTTTGTTCCCGCACCCCGGAAACCGCGCACCCCCACCCCCGCGGGCGTGGCCCAAGGTGGGGGGAGGTTGGTGCCTGCGGCGCCCTGGCAAGGTCCCTGGGAGGGCAGCCGCGTGGGGCACCCCTGGGCCCCGGGCCAGCCCTGGTCGCCTCATGGGCTGGGCTCTGCCAGGCGCCAAGGGCACGGCCTGCCTGGGGTTCGCGGGTGTGCGGCTCCCGGGGTGACCTAGGCAGAGCTTGCGAGGCACGGGCGGGGGTCTCCACCCTCGGCGCCCGGGGTCGCCCTGCCCCCACAGGGCTGCTGTCAGACACGCCCACAGCCACCCCCTCCGCCAGCCCAGGGTTGGGGTCTAAGCCTGCGACTCGAGTCCCAGGTCATTTGCAGGACACGGGGCGGGGGGTCAGATTGGGGGCGGGGGGCTCAGACACGAGGATGTGGGGGGAGTCACACATGGGGACCATGTGGGGTCACACATGGGGGCCGTGGGGGGCCCAGACACGGGGTCCGTGGGGTCTGTATATGGGGCCCCTGTCCTGTTCACTGTGTCTGCCCCTTGACCCCGTGGGCTGACCTGCGGGGGCCATCACTGGCGGCCCAGGCCTTGTGGCCGCCCCAGCCACGCCACGTCCCCTCTGGCCCTGTGCCCTGTGCTGACCCCGTCCCCGCTGCTTCCGGTGACACGACTCTGGCCGTGGCCCGGCTCCCCTGGGCACACCTGCCCCTCACACCCCGTCACGGGTGGGCGAGCCCTGGGACGGAGCAGGCAGCTGTGCTGTTCTGGAACATTCTGTTAGAACCAGAAGTTGGACCTCTTCACTCCTGGTCCCAAAGCTGGCCTGGCCCTCAGAGCCGCTGCCGGGCCAGGTGGGCCTGACCGGATGTGGGGTGACGCGTGCGGGTCCCTGCGTGCCGTGTTCTCATGCCTGGTTCCACATGTTCTGTGTTCTCTTGTGCAGGCCTCTGTGTCCTGTGTTCTTGTGTGTTGGGTCCCTGTGCTGTGCTCTTGTGTGTGGGCCACTTGTGCTGTGTTCTTCCCTGTGCAGGCTCTCATGCATGTGGACTCCGTGTGGCCATTCAGAGGCACCGTTTCCGTGACCTGGGGCAGGGGAGGGGTGGGAGGGGCCTTTCTGTGGTGGGACCTGAGCGGCTGCTCCCTGCATCCCTCTGGCCCTTGGCGTGGGACCACCTCCCCGACTGGGTCTGCACTGAGGGGGGCTGCAGGAGGAGAGAGATGAGGGGCGAGCAGGGACCAGGCCGGGGGGGGGCTAAATGGGGGTCCCCTGCGTGCTCAGCCCTGGCTCGGCACTGACATGTCCCGGGGACATGGCCCTTCCCGCACTGTCCCCTCCCCCGTCCTTCCATCAGGCAGCGGAGGCGGGGGTGGGGGCAGGGGGGCTGTGCGGAGCTGGGGGCTGGGTGGGGGGCTGGGGCAGGGCCTCCAGCCTCCCTGGCTGTGGGCCGCCCCCGCCATGGGCCTCCCTGGCGGCTGTCCACGGACCTCTGGGCTCTGGGAGAGGGCTGTGGGCTGGGGTGTCCTCTGTGGACAGTGCTCTGGGGGCTGAGCTGCACTGAGGGCCTGGGAGCGGGGCCCAGCCTGGGGCCAGGAGGGGCAGACAGGCAGGCAGAGGCGCCGGTGGGAGCCGGACACTCCAGTGTGGAAACGTCAGCGGCTGTGCTGGGCCTCAGGCGCTCGGGAGAGGGAGAGACCCCCGCCTGGACCCCCCGACCCAGACGCACTCACCCATTGGGGGTCAGGCGCCCACAGTTCACCTCTGTGGGCCCCACGGAGGCAGCCAGTTTCCAGCAGCCGCCAGCAGGGCTGGGGACAGTGAGCTGGGGACACGCAGGCTGTCCCCCTCGGCTGCAGTTCAGAGGGCAGCGGGACAGGAAACACATAGAGGAGGCCTGGGGACAGGGAAGGAAAGATGAGTGGGAGTAGGAAGGGGTGGACGGAGGGAGCGGGCCGGGCCGGGCCTCGGGCACCTTGAGGGGCCACGTGAGGCCTATGGACAGACTCAGAGCCCACACCACAGGCCAAACACCCAAACCCAGTGGGGAGACCAGCCCGGGGACACCGCAGGGGGACGTAGCCCCCCTGACCAGTGGGTGCTGGAAACTCAGCAATGAAGAACTTTCTAGATCACGGGGCCACTGGACCGCAGCTCCGTGGCCTCAGAAGGACACAGGGTGGAGGGCTGGGAGAGACGGGCCACGGGCAACGGTGCAAGGACCCCCAGATGGTCCCTCAGGCCCCACCTGTCGCCAGCCGGGCACTGCCAGGTGCGGCCAGTTGCAGGCCGGAACCGTGAGCTGGGGGCCCAGCTGCCCGCACCCCGGACACTGTCTCCCCCTGAGCTCGGGGTGCGGGGAGGTGGGGTGCCTCTGTGGGGCCATGGGGAGGGTAGCCTGAGGGTCCCATGTGACTCCTGGGGCCTCCCCGAGCCCCCAGAACCCTCCGACATGGGGGCTCACGCTCCCCCCTCCCCAGCAGGCAGTGACGAGGTGCCCCCAGCCCCGTTGGGGGTCTGGGCTCTGGGGAGCAGCCTGGTCTATGCCGGCCGCTCCAGGGGGAGACTGGGTGCCGGCCCCCCACACTCCTGCTGAGTGAGGGGCACGTCTCTCTCAGGGTCCCCGGGCCTGTCTCCTGGGCCTGCCCGAGGGGGTCAGCTCTGCCGCACTGACCAGCTGCCGCCTGGGGCTCGGGGTCCCCCGCCGGTGCTGCTTCAGGCGGTTCCTGGCGCCAACAGCCCTATCCCCTCCCCCACCCCCCCACTCTCTCCACCCTGACTCGCCTTCTCGAGTGCAGACTGCTGCCTCCTGGCTGGGCCAGGTCGGCTGTCCCGGATGCCCCAGGTGACTCCAGCCAAAGTGCTCTCCCTGAGGCCTCTGCTTGGGGAAACTGAGGCTGATGTGGGCTTCTGAGGGGCTCTGCTGGTGGCTGCAGATCACAGGAGGCTGGGGCAGCCCGGGCCGGTCCCTGTGTGCGGGCCCCTCCACTGCCCTTGGCTCGATGCTCTTCCCAGTGACTCTGGAGTCCTAGCCCCACTCAGATCACTGACCCACCCCCACTGTCAGCCTGCTGGGCGG